GCTTTTTTTTTTAACTTTTTTTTTTTAAGATTTTATTTATTTATTTGACAGACAGAGATCATAAGTAGGCAGAGAGGCAGGCAGAGAGAGAGGAGGAAGCAGGCTTCTGGCTGAGCGGAGAACCGGATGCGGGGCTCGATCCCAGGACCCTGGGATCATGACCTGAGCTGAAGGCAGAGGCTTTAACCCACAGAGCCACCCAGGCGCCCCTGTTACACTGGCTTTTAAAGAAATGGGACTTTTTGATACCTAGTATGTATTGAATCAGTGCAGAAAATATTGGCTGTGTTGCATGATTTTTAACTTCTTTTTGAAACATGAAATTGTCTTCTACTTAAATAAAAAATTTCAGACACAAATAATGAAATCCTCTAAAGTCTACATAGGCAGAGCAGAGAACTTTGGAAATTATTGAGAAACGTATGTTGTTATACAGCTGTAGTTAGATATATGTAGGGACCTGTGGCCCGGGTGCCCGAGACCACCCCAAGGTCTGATGATTTGCTGGACTTGCAGGAGCGAGCATGCAGCCCTGCTCGCCTCGTGGCTACTACTTGTTACAACAAAAAGATACAAAGCAAAATTAGCAAAGGGGAAACTGGACTGAGCGAAGTCTGGAGGGAACCAGGCCCCAGTTTCTCAGAGTCCTCTCCAAGCAGAGTCACGCAGGAAGCTCCATTCCTTCCGCAGCAGATGGTGACAGCACTGTGAAGTCTGGTAGTGGGAAAACATCTCAGGGACTCCGTGCCCGGGTTTGTAACTGGCTCCCAGAGGCAGCCTCCGCCAGACACATCCCCAGATGCCAGCCTCCCCGGCATAAACTGCCTTCCTCACGCAGCGCTGCGCCCCGTTCCGATCAGTTCTGGGAATGGGGGAGCCCTCCCCAAATCCAGGCTGCCAGCTGCCAGCCAGGGCCCAACTGGCTGCTGGGACTTCCTAAAGACAGCCATTGCAGGCTGCCGTGTTCCCCTTTTCTGCGCAGGGCCTACAGGCGCCCTCCCGGGAAAGGAAAAGGAAGGAAAGAGATGAACGGAGGGAGTCGAAGTGCAATTTTCAAGTTGTGTCCAGATCTCTGGCTAACCTGGCTTAGTTTATTCATGTAGATCAAATGATCAGTTCTGAAATTCAGAAGTACAGAAGTAAAAATGATCGCCCTTCAATGTATTTCTTAATTGATGTAAAGTTCATAGATGAGGAAGGTTTTATTCATACTTTTTGCAGGGAGCCAGGTCTGCCCTGGGAGAAACCACCTACTTTGCAAGCAGTTTTTGCATATAAAGCAGCCCCTTGCGTTTGTGAACTTCATGTTCAGCCATCTGTGAGCAACCCTAGAGCCCACGAGGCGCCAGTCGGTGGTTTTTCTGAGACGTAAATGTGAGTCAAGCCCCACAGCCTCTGCTGGGGATCGTCACTGGGCTGCCCAGTGAATCTGCCGCCCACCCTCCGCGTTTCCACGCTGCTTATTCTTGCAAAACTCACCTAGTAGTGCTGCCGATGCGAGTACAGTATTATAAGAATGTAGCCGGAAAACAACATTTGGATAGACGAAAGGGTGGGATTTGACAGTCTTCCAGACCCACAGCATCCTAACCTCATATGCAGACAAGAAGCCGGGGTTCAGGCACGGCCTTCAGGGAGTGTCCCTCCAATGCATGTGTTCCTTTATCATGGGAGCAGACAAGTGTGAGGTGACAGCTGATTGACGGAAGCAGGCACAGGAGCGGGACCTCGTGGGGCAAGCTGGAGGCACGCGGCCATGAGTCTCAGGCCAGGCTCCAGGGGTTCTTTACACAGTTACTTCACCAGGTTATAAGTGCATCCCTTGATATAGATTTGGGTTTGAAAGTCAAAATATTCTAGGGTTATAGGTGATTTTTCTCATGGATTCTAGTGAACTTTCTGCAGGAGGACAGCAGTGCCCAGGCTGTGGTTAAAACAGCTCCAGTGCTGGGTATTTGCCCCCCAAAATACTAATTGAGGGGGGTACAAGCACCCCTGTGTGCTGCGGAATTATTTACAACATCCAAGACACAGAAACAGCCCAAGTGTCCATCAGTGGATGGATGGATGGATAACAAAGATGTGGTGTGTATGTATATATATGTGTGTGTACACACACGCGCGCACACACACACACACACACACACACGAATATTGCTCAGCCTTAAAGAAGAATGGAATCTTGCTACTTGAAACGACGTAGATCAAGCTAGAGAATAGAACGCTAACTGAGGTCAGTCAATAAAGACAGACAAATGCCGTATGATTTCACTCATGTGGCACTTAAGAAACAAAACAAGTAAAGGAAAAAGAGGGAGAGCCAAACCAAGAAACAGCCTCTTAACTATCGAGAACAAACCGGTGGTTACCAGAGGGGAGGTGAGTGGGGGAATGGGGATTAAGGAGTGCACTTGTGATGAGCACTGGGTGTTGTACGGAATTGTAGAATCACTATGTTGTACACCTGAAACTAACAGGACACTGTATGTTAACTACCCTGGAATTAAAATTTAAAAAATTTTTTAAAAATTAGCTCTACTGCCCCTGCATGTGGTTTGCATCAGTTGTGGGAGTCTAACATATATGCAGTTCTTTCTCGTTCTATGACTTTTTATTTTAAAATATAAATTATTTTGTTCATCTTCAGGTTAGTTAAGAGAACACTCTTTTACCTAGTGTTTCTTTCATTAGTACATTAAAGGAGCTGACTGATCCTAGCATGAGGTGTTTCGAAGAACTCTGTCAAATAAAAAAGGACCTTCCTCACTGACTCTCGTGCTATTTGGTTTTAATGACCGCTCCCTACCCCCCAGCTATTTGCAAATATAAAAATTAGCTTGCTTCAGATTTTTACCAGAACATAACCTCTCTAACTGATGTATAAGGGCCATCTTTTGGGAGAACAGAGGCCTTATTGCCTTTTTCCCCCCCTCCACAGCTAGCATGTATTGGCTGAATTTCTTCTTTTTCGTGAGACAGGGAACATTGAGAATGCTCAGCATTAGGATAATAACCTACACAAAAATTCTTTCTTTTTTTATTTTATAAAGATTTTTTTTGTTTGACTGAGAGACAGTCAGAAAGCACAAGTGGAGGGAATGGCAGAGGGCGAGGGAGAAGCAGGCTCTGCACTGAGCAGGGAGCCCCAAAATGGGGCTTGATCCCAGGCCTCCGGGATCATGACCTGAGCCGAAGGCAGGTGCTTAACCATCTGAGCTACTTAGGTGCCCACCCCTACACAAAATTACTTACTGTCAACTTTCAGCTGTTTTCCTACTACTTGACTTTCGCCACTGCCCTTCCTCTTTGGCAGGTACTTAACTGCTGTCTGGTTAAGGTTCATTTTTATTAAATAACCACTCGACAGTTATCACTGAAGTGTAATTTATATACTTATTCTCAAGGTTCATTTTCTTTTAAAGAAACCATAGTATTAGAAACAAATACCAAGATTTTTGTCAGCATTTACCTTTATTCAGATGTAATTCACAAAGGGATTAGTAGAAATTCAAAGTGATTTTTAATTTTATGAAGATACTGGTTGCTTAAGACCTCGTATTTAACCTAGGTAGGCATCTGCTGACTACAGTATCCCTTATTTATTTGGTGGATATGTATGAAAGTGAATTACTGTAAAATAAAGACATCTAAAAGGTATTTCTTCATAGAATAAACTTAAAATTAGTTGCTAGATTTCATGTCTTTTTCACTAGAGAATTCAAATTGCAGGAATGTTGCTCTGAAAAAAATTCTGTATTTTTTTATGTTCTTTTCTTCAAGCTGATATTTTCTCATCTTATCTCATGTTACATGTTAATATACTGGTGAGTCATTATTACTTAGATAATATACAGAGCTCTGTGCTTATTGTAGTACTCTTTTTCTTCCTCTTTAAGACTCAATGACGAAGCACGGCGGCTCATTGCTGAATTGGGAAGTACATCTATTACTAATCTTGGTTTTAGAGACAACTGGGTCTTCTGTGGTGGGAAAGGCATCAAGACCAAAAGCCCCTTTGAACAGGTTAGTATCTTAGACTCTCATAATTAATGGACGAAAGTAAATTGTGTGAAACTGTACAGCGAATATTCCTATCCTAGTTATTTGAAACTTAGACAAAGCAGCCATTAAATATGTTGTGTATTTTTCATAAGCTCTTGGTCATCAGTTATTTAAAATAATCATGGCATGTTTTAAATCAAAACTAAAAAATAGGCCTATTCTTCATGGAGTATTTTTTCCTGTATGACCGTGCATTGGCATATGATTGCTTTTATCATGAGCTGCTTAGGAAGTGTTCATTATTAAAGATTTTAATCGAGCTTTTGGTAGTATAATCAGTTAAGTTTAGAAACACTTTAGAACTTGGTGGACTATAAACTTTACCTTTTGGCTACCAAATGATCCTTCCAAAAAGTCCTGCACTGTTTTGTTCTTTCAGCTGGCTGGTCTTTGACGGTCTCCCTGGCCCCTGGGGTTGCTCATTGACTCTCTTGAACAGTAATTTGCAGGAACTCATCATTGATACGAATGTTACTGAAACAAGTACACTACAGTATGTTGTGGTAGAGAAGCAGTTCATAAAGGTGGTTTGTTTTTTTTTTTTAACCTTGTACTATTATTGTACCCCAACAGCACATAAAGAACAATAAGGACACAAACAAATATGAAGGATGGCCCGAAGTTGTCGAAATGGAAGGCTGCATCCCCCAGAAGCAAGACTAATGCAGAGGAAACTGAAGGAAACGCACTTTGCCCGTTAATGGCCGAGCTGTGACCGAGGAGCTATGTGTAAATACTGCGGGAGCATGCAGCCGTCTCGGCGTGTGCATGAGCATTTATCTCTTTGGATATCGGGATTATTTATTGCTAACGTAAATAACGCCTCTGTAAATAGTCATCGTAATGAGCAAATCACTGAACCATTTCGAAGCACATTTCTCTGATAGTAGTACGGTGTTAGACTGCTACAGTAGGGACATCTTTTAATTCTAAAAGCATACCCAGTGGATAACTGAACAGATTGTAAAAAATATATTGGTATATATACTGGTTGCTGTGAAAACCTATTATGGAATAATATGGATTTTAGGGAGGAGACTTTGTTTTCTTTGTGTGTGTGTGTGTGTGTGTGTGTGTGTGTATTGTACACACACACCCATATTCAAGTATATATATGTGTATATATGTGTTGCCTTTTAACGATAGTATCTTTTAAATTCCAAAGATACTTGGCTAGTTGTGTGTGTAATGTTACTTTATAGTCTGATCTCCAGTGTACCTTCTTTCTTCATTTTTCCCTTCTCCTCCCAAAAAACCTAGAAATAAAATGATACGAAAACCTATATCAGATATGTGAAAAGCACAACAGAATTTTTTCTTTTCATGTACACAGTAAAAAAGGAAGTGCGTAAATGTAGGTGGTATTCAGGACTGTAGCTTTCTGGGTTTTGTGTTAGCAGTATGAATGACTGGATCTCACAGAAGCTGCTTAGAGCGAGGCTGGGGGTGGCAGCCCCATGGAGCCAGGGACGTGGGCCACCACCCTTCTGCACCCTAACCAGGGGCTTCAGGACAGCCGCAGCTGTGTTTAGAGCAAAGCTGTCGTGTGTTTCCTTATGGTTATCAGCACTGACCAAGTGGTTTGGAAAGAGGCATGCTTTAATGTCACCATTATTTTGATGGTAAACCAAGAAATATAATTCTGTATCTAACTTCATAATAGCAATTTTGCCTGAAGATATAACGACATATTTACAGAAGTCTTAATTACTACGTGGACTGATAACATTTAAAAAATAATTTTATTTGAGTCCAGATGATTTCTACATAAAATTTTATTCACTTGAGATGTTCACTAAATGACTCAAGTTTCTTTGTTTTTGTTTTGTTTTTGTGTTAGAGCATTAAATACCTAGAGTGTATGAAGTATCTTAAACCAGAACATAAACTAATGATCTAACTACTCACAGTAGAAGGTGGCACTTAAATTTTGAATCTAAATTTTAGATGATTTGTATAAAAAAACTAAAGGCAGTATTTTTGTTTTGCTGTCAACCAACTTGGAAGCTATTCAGCTGTTTCTTAAATATTAATAAACTTTGGGGTACTGGTTCTTCTCTCAAACTGAATGTAATTCAAGAATAAATGCACCTTACACATTCAAAGAATTTTTGTAAACTTTACAGATCTCTGGTGCTTATATGCTAAGTCATATTCAGCATGTGTATTTTGACATTTAAAATGCTTCCCTAGATTCTGTAAATTAAAAGAATAGCTATTTTCCAGATCCAGGTATGGTGAAATAAATGTTTTTTGCATTTTTTTTTTTAAAATAATGAAAATGCTCTCGGTTTTTGCATTGTGAATTGTTTTGTGTTTGTGTCACAGTAATGTGCCTCCGGAACTTCCCATTAATGTTGGTCACACATTTATCATACTGTGTCACGTGGAAAACTGAAGACAGTCCTGGGGCTACACACACTAATATCCTCAGGATCTATCTTGATATGTATAGACTTTAAGTATCCAGATGGCAAGACATCCCTTTTAAGGTAAAAACTATAAAACAATAGATCTGCGAAGCTGTGCTAACTGTCAGAAGGAGGGACCGAGACGGATTTTGTGGTGGCTTTGGTGCAGTTTGCTTTTGTTTCAGTTCTGTCTTGTACAGGTTGTGCCAACTTTGGAAGCAATAATTTTACTACATTTCATGCTCAGATATCTTTTAAAAATCCACATTATAAATGAAACAATGTTCCTTTCATGTTAAGAAATTTCTTTATTAAAATCAGAAATTTGGCATTGACATTTTGGTATACTAAATGGCATATAAGGACTTTTGGATGGGTATTTTTTATTTATAATCATACTTTTTTTTCTGGAACAAGTGTATCATAGTATGCCTATTAAAATTAAGCTAAGACAGTAGGAAAATAAGTGATATTTGGGAAATTAAAGAGAAATTGAGCCAGAGTCTTTATATTCCTGACTTTAATTTGATTAAAGTAAAATTTATCACTGTCTACATTTTGTATTTGTTTTGAAATGGATCAGCTATTATTTTATTATTTTATGCCAGGTGAAGCTCAAAGCATTTAGCTTGTATTGCATTTATACTAAAACAGTTTTTACAAATTATAATTTGAAGCCCCCAAAAGAGATGGTAATTTCAATTCAGTTGACATACCCCATTTTTAAGTGAAGGAATGAGAAATGTGTTCAGTTAGAATATTAAGAGTAGAAATGCAGGTGGTTGGGTTATGGACATTGGGGAGGGTGTGTGCTATGGTGAGTGCTGTGAATTGTGTAAGACTGATGAATCACAGACCTGTACCCCTGAAACAAATAATACGTTATATGTTAATAAAAAAATTAACATAAAAAAGTAGAAATGCATTTAGAATATTTTCTGAAATGAGTATGAGAGGAAAAAAATTACTTGTATTGATTGGGGAAAAGATTTGTCACTTAACCTCTTTAATATGGCCTTGGACAGTGGCAGGTACATATAGATTAACATGTAGATTAACAGATAACATGTAGATTAACAGGAAAAAGTACCCGATTTTACCTTTTCTAAAGCACCCCTCAGAATTCTTTTGGTGCCTCTACCTAGGATGATTTTTCTACCACATACTTGGTTTTTGGTTGTCGTGTTGCAACAGCTAGTCAATCCCCAAGCCCCTCAAGCTCCCTCACTTTCACTACTCCCGTCCTACTGCCTGTGTCTCCTCTCCCAGAGCCCCTTTCTTGAGGTTCCTGTCAAGTCAAAGCTAGCTAGAGCAAAAATCAGGCAGGCCTGGCTTGCGAGGGGCAGTCTGCTGCTAGGTGGCCCGAGGGAGTGTGGGGTAGGCCATCCTGGAACCTGAGACTTCATCCACCAGAACCTGCCTGCAATCCAGGGAGGGTGCAGGCCACTGGAGGGCCGCTCTGTTAAGGAGGAAAGGCTTTCAATATGAGGATCTCTCTTCTAGAAAGGAAAAGGGACTTGCTGGCCCTTCAGTTAGAGACAGAAGAAAAGTTCCTCTTGCCTTGTTTATGGGCAGTTGATAAGCAAACTTACTACAGAGAAGACCACCTTCCCAGAATAGCTAGTTCACAGGTACAACTCGCTGCCATTACTAAACTGACTGACTGGGGCACGTGGCTGGCTCTAGGTCTTGGAACTAGGAACTGCATGTTCCTAGTGTTTCAAGTAATTAGCCCATATTTATTTTACTGGATCGCCAGTGAGAAAAGGGGCCTAAAACCTTAAAGAGGAGTGAATTCTGTAATGGAGACAGTGTAGTGTACTGGGTAACAGTCACACTCGCATGAGTACAAGTCTCTACTTCATTGTTGACTGCGCGAGGAACGGGAGAAGGTCCGCCTCCTCACCACGGTGAGGTACGGATGCTAGCGCGTGTTCGTGCTTGTGCGCACTCAAGAAATGGAACTGCTAGTCTGGCTGTTGTGATTGACTCCGTCTCTTGAAGGCTGGTAAATTTCAGCCAAGGAGAAAAGTTAAGCCAGCCTTCAGCTTCCCACCCCCATCCTACCAAATGCTATGGTCTTCATGTTTGTGTTCTTCCCAGCACCCCTGTGTTGAAACCCAGTCTCCAGTGCAATGGTGTTTGGAGGTGGGGCCTTTGGGAGGCAATTAGGTCTGAAGGGTGGATCCCTCACTGAGGGTAGAGCTCTTATCCAAGAAACCCCAGAGAGCTTCCTGACCCTTTCAGCCATGTGAGGACACAGAGAGAAAACACAGGAACCAAGAAGCAGGCCTTTCCCAGACACTAAATGTCTGAGCACCTTGATTCGGGACTTCACAGCTTCTAAAACTGTGAGGACTGAATTTCTGTTGTTTATAAGCCCCCCAGTCTGTGGTGTTTTGTTACAGCAACCCGAATGGACGAAGACACCAAGCCCAAAACGGAGCCATTGAATGCCTTGGACAGGAAGGCGGTGACAAGGGTGCAGCCCCTCCTGGTTCTCTGGGCCCCAAGCCTCTGACTGTGTACACCTGCCCTTCCACTCAGTCCGCACTGACACCGGACTCCTTTCCATATGCAGAATTCGGGTTTTTGTGGTTCTCCAGGCAGCTGGCCGTTCGAATAAGCACATGATAGAGTTGCACTAGCTGTCCCCGCTGCAGGGGAAGCGGTGTGGGCAAGACCTTGAATGGATTTTGAAATTTTTGCTTTCTGATACCTACCCTTCACTTCTAACAGTAGATTCATTATTTGAACTTTATACATTTGACTTTCAAACCGGTTTTCGGCAACGCCTTGTGACTTCTGGTGCTGTCCTGCCTGGATCTGGCCTGCTCAGATGGACAAGCCCGATTCACCAGAGCCAGTGAATTCCCTGCCGAGTCTTAGCCTCACTGCAGCAGGAGGTCCGACAGGATTGCTCTGTTTTCTGTCGGTAGAGCCCTCACAGCTGAGGGAAGGAAATGCCCGCTTCCGGAAGTCAGGTTTTAGCTAAGGCCCAGTCTGAGCCTCAGAGGTTCTCTCATCCTAAAACTTCATGTGAATTTTTCAGTTTATCATTCACAGATGTTCATTTTAACATAGAACTCTTTTCAAATATTTTAAGTTTCAGCTTCCAAAAATGTTTAGCTTCTGCATACCCACGAGGACTGCGGGCCTGAGTAGAGAAGTGCCGTGGGCTTTATTTGACCAGCGCAGAAAGGAGCCTCGAGGATAGTGTCTTGCTAGTCCGAGCTCTGAGCAGAGCGGAGATCCCGAGGCAAACGGTACCGCTACGGTTAGGAGTAGGGTTGGTGGTCAAGGTGGTGGTGCCTGAGTGTCGCGGTTCTGCGGGGATGCCCCGCGTGGCAGAAGTGGGAGAGGCAGCTGGGGAGCAACTCCTTGGGTGTGAGGGCAAGCTGTGGGCCCAGGGGAGGGCAGCCTGCCTGACGTGGCTTTCTATTGCCCTGAGGGAGAGGACCATAGGTTTAACGTCAGTAAAAAGAAGCTTGTACTTCTGTAGAAATCTGAAACGTTTGTCCCAGGAGTGAACTGTTGACACCTTACACGGGCATGTTAAACTTATGTCAGGGAAATAGGCTGTTTGGGGGAGGTTCCCTCTAGTTCTATAGCACTGGGTGTGTCGGACATGAACACAATTGCAGTTGTGACCATTGCAAATTGGAGATTGTAGTTCTCTGTCG